GTGGGGTGGAGAAAGTGTGAGAAACAATCTTACAGACAGAGGCCAGTGAAGAAGGGGGAGTGGGAGAGGTGCCATGAAGGAAGCTGCAACCAGGAGAGAGAAGCCCATAAAGGAGCAGGTTTTCTGACAGAAACTGCTGCTTGTGGAGGACCCACACAGAACAGTTTGCAAAGGAAAGTGCACTGCTTTCCTATTACAATTATGCCTCATGCACACACTTCCTTCTATTTAAGGCTTCACTATCTAGATGACACATACAAAACAAACAACTATTGGACACAAAGGTTAAGTGAGAATTATTATGATGTGAATATAAAATTCCTCCTGTTGACACAAATGTCCTGGAGAACACAGAAGTTAGCCGTCAGCTAGTAATGCCTACAAAGCAGTTAGCCAACATGGGAGAAACCACATCACAATGCACACTACACCTTCAAGTGAATCAGCAAGAAATAAGGCTGTCTTCTGAAAACTAAGGGAATATAAAACATCAGCAGAATGATAAAGACGACAGTGCCCTGATAACTTAAAAGTGGTATTATAGTTTAGAGGCACAGTTCTTCAAAATTCCTACAGACTGGTCTCTAACAGATTGCATAAATTCTAACCAAAAAAAAAAAAAAAAAAAGAACCAAACAAAAACTATCAAACCATTTGTGATCAAGAACCTAAACCCAAAATTCTCAGCCCACTCAAGCAATGGAGTACAACACACAAGATTTTTCTGTATCATGCACAAGCCTAGTCTCAGATGCCTATTTCATTAGGTTAACAAAACTTAATACTCCCATATGTTTCTCAAAAGTCATGTGAAAGAGGCTGACAGTATAACTATATATACAAAAACCCCTTTCCTTACACATTATAATAACCACCGCTTCAAGCTGATTTCTCTGAGTGAGCTCTGTATGACCCTCTCTAATAATGCTCCTTTCCCAGGGAAAACCCAACTCCTCCTACAAGCTAACTGTACAGGTGAACCCACAGAGACTATAAGCCTTGACATCACAATCTAAATTTCTACCAGGAGCTTCACCAGGAGTGGCACCATCAGCAAACAATCTCACAGCATTTTTTTTCCCCTTGGAGAAGCAAGCAGAATACATGTTTCTTCTCTACTCTCCAAAGCATTTATCTGAACCACAACCTAAAACCTGTGCAATTAGGCAACTAGGTCACCTTGTGATGATTCCTTTTATCCCTTAGAAGTCAAGCTAAAAAAGCAGGAACTTCTGGCTTGATGTGGCTTATTAAAATGGAAGAAGGTACTAAAAGGTACTAGGGAGATGTGGCACCTAGACTTATCAAAATTTTAACTGAGAGTCTTCACACTGACGAAGAACTCTTCCTTCTTTGATATCAACAGGGGAATTCTGGAAATGCATAGAAACACCAGCCTGTCTTATAACAGCACAGTCATCTTTAAGCCACAGCCATTAGTGCCAAATACCTGAATTCCCCTCTTCCTTCACCATTTCAAATATAAACAACTTTAGAGGGTTGCAATCTATCACGTTTTTGCAAAAAGTACACCACAAGAACCTTACATTATGTAATGTCTCACAGATAGTATTCTCAAAGATTATTATCTAAAATATGATTAAATCATCCTCCTCTTACATTGTAATCTACTGTTGTATCTCCAGGCTATTGATCTCTTTATCGAAGCAATCAAGTGGCTGCTGGTTACCCTGTAGACAGTGACTCACTTTTAAACAGCCACTTTTGTATTCATTGTGACACATATCATCACAAAACAAAGTAAAAGCCAATAATTTTAGCTCACAGTTTAAAGTGAAGTATTTTGGAAGTTACAGTTACACATAAGAGTATCAATATTAACAGTTTTTAATCCCTATTTAGTATGGAAACGAGTTCCCAAGTCTTGGACTTTACCAACAGCTCATCTACTGTGGTCATGCAGCAGACCTGCTTAGCAGAGAATAAAGCAAATGTTTACCTGTGTTGATCATGCGGATTACCACTTGCTTTTAAGAGAATGCACAAAGATTAATACCAAAGCACAGGAAAAACTGGCGTGCCAAATAACAAAGACGTCATTCAGAGAGGGTTGATCAGTACATATAGTGTGATCAATTTAGTGATCAACTGGTAACTGTTATGGAGGTTTTTCAGATTTTCAGCTAAGTATTTAGCTTGGACATTTACATCTCATACTTTCCAAAGGAGACAGTTTTAAGAATTCACCCTGAAAATAGGCAAGGAAGCTATTTCAGCCAGTAGAGGTATAAGCATTTCAGACTACTTCAGTTTGCTGTGCTTTTTTAAACTTAAGAACCTATATTCAAAGAGCTATGTACCACCGAGTAGATGATGTGTGGTCCTATGGCCACACTGCCAACCACTGAAACCTCCAGAAGTTTCAAGTTTCTTGCACTGAACAAGTTCAAGATGTTCACACTAAGCAACAAACTTCTTCCAAAGAAGTTTCATATTGATGAACCTGTGATTAAACTCACAGAATGCTGACAAATTAATCCAAAATAATTATTTTCCTTACTCAGTATAGGGCTTTCCTTGAAAAAAAACATTTACTGTCAGATAAAGTTATCAACAACGATAACTTTTCCAAAAGTAATTTTCCATGTGGCTGATACTCGTCAACGTGTATGAGAGCATTTACAAGCAGTGTGTTACTCCTACAGCCTATTCTCTGTCTGTCCATGCATGTGACTTCAGCCATTGCCCAGTGTAAAATTAAATATAGCAGCAATTTGCTGTCATTTCATACACTGTCTCGGGATATGGGTTTGGTTTTTGGTTTTGGTTTTTTTTTTTTTAACCTTTTAGCACTGTTCAGAGATAGAATACACCACTGGCTTTCTGAGTATAGCTGAGAACACTGAAAACACGTTTTTCAAGTCTCAGGTTAGACTTACCAATTGCTGACTCTTAACACAGAATTACGGATGATAAAAAATGTGATTAAAGAGTTATAGTTTCTTTTCAATTTCCTGAAAAATACCTTTGGAAAAAACACCACTGCATTTCTGAAACATATCACCACAATTTTTGAAAAATTACTCACAAATGCACATTACTGGAAATAACTAGAGCCCATTTAAGAGCTCTCATGTGCAGTCATCATGTTTTCAGCAATTCCTGCGGGATTAAGAATTTGAGGATTTCTTCCACCACACCCGTTACAAGGCATGACAGATACAGATCAGCTAGAACTTTAAAGCAGAAACAATAGTTTACAATGCTATATTATATGTAAAATATGCTCATTTTCCTACTCCACAAGCAGTAGCTGTATGAAAAATTGTATCTATGTACTGAAATCAGAGTAGAGGATCAATATAAAGACATTGCTTAAGAAAAAAGAAAATCCCAAGACTACAAGAACTTGCCATTCCTCTGTACAATACTGCAAGGATACAGCCTAGCAGAGGTGATCTAGAGGGGAAGAGCTGCTTGGAAGTGCAGAAGGTGCACGGAGATAATTACTGTTGTCCAACTTCAAGAGTTTCTTGCAAAGTGCCTTTCCTAAGACGCTTTGAAATTACTCAGGTGAACGAGCTCTCCAGTGCAAGCTGAACATATCTTAGAAAGACATTTCAGGGGCAAAGTACAGATATATATAGGTTGAATGTCTTCCTTGCACTGAGAAAGCAGCCAGCCCACCTACCATCTTGCTTACATTCTCCAAGACTTTTTTCCCCATGCTTCTCCCAAGCACATTCACTTTGGTACTTGGCACTGGCAAACTGACAGCTGTGCATATGGGAAATGCTATATATATCACATCATTGCATTTCATAATGTCCATTAGAATTTCTGGACCACAAATGTCTAAGACAATTATTTACTGAATTGGGTAAAGCTAATAACTCAACAAATAACCTCAGTGTTGAAATTGGGGACATAACTGCTGTTTTCCAGAACCTGGGCAGAACTCCACTTACGTCAACTGCCCTCCGTCAAGGTGCAGGTTCTGAGTTTGGTTCCTTGATACATCCTGAGAAAGAAAAGAAAAAATAATTACAATAAATACACCTTTGTATCTTGGTAAAATCCATCTCAGAAATATTAACTCATTGAAACTGGCCCCTTTTTGACAAACATGGAACCAAATACCACACTGGGTTCAAACCACAGTGTGGTTCAGGATGATTGCAAAACCTAGCGGACACTATTTAGTTCATCATGGCACAAGGTGTATTTTCGTCACTTGCAGTTACCCCTCTTTTTCTATTAAGTGATACTAACTTAGTCAGGATGCGCGTGTAGGTGCATGCAGGAGGTCCTGACACTCTGCACCAATTTTCTCCCACTCCTTCCTTTAAGCGGGCATTTTGTAGCAAACTATTTATAAACTGTGGCCTCTGTCTTCACCCTCTGCTTCCACTGTAGGAGCAGAGATTCCACTTTGCTTTCCAGTTTCCAACAGTCCAATTTCCAGTTATCCAACATCTTTTGCAACAATTCTTCACTAGAGCTCAAAACGCTCCCTGCCCACAGAAAGCTTGCTGCAGCTGAGGCTGCCGGGCTTCTAGACTACAGCACTATTGCTGTGACTCCCTTGACCTCTAAGCTGGAATGATGTGAACCCTGGGGAAGCAGGTCAGATCCCAACGCCACCTCTTGAAATCTTTTTTTAAAGCGTGTTACATGGGGTTGGATTCTAGAGGATTTTTCCTTGGGTTACAGAGGGACAGGAGTAAAATAAAAAATTTTCTTTTAAACAGACGCACAGGATACACAACCACCTGCGGCGTTGATAAAACCCAAGGCAGTCACGCCACGGGGAGGGAGGAGACTTCCTTTTACTCACCTGCGGTTACGCTGGGATCGCCCTGCCACTATTTCAGCACGACCCAGGAAGCAGGCGCCCGGGCTGCCAGGTTCCTCTGGGCGCAGCGCCGGCCCCGGCCCCGCGAAGCCTTTTCCCCCGCTCAGACCGGACCCCCGAGGCGGGGCGGCGGCGGCGGCCGGGCCGGGCCGCCGGTGGCGGAGCGCGGGAGGCGGGCGGGCGGCGCGGGGCATGCGGCTGTGCGAGAGGCCCTCCCCGGCGGCGCGGCGGCGCTGCGCGGCGCTGCTCGGCTCCCTGCTGCTGGCCGCCGCCCTGGCGCTGCGCAGCGCCAGCCGGCCCTGCCCCGCCGCCCACCCCCGCTGCCGGGAGCGCCGCTACCCGGCGCTGGAGCTTTCCGCCGGCAGCGGGATCAACTGCTCGGGGGTCGTCCGCGGGGACGAGAAGGCCATCCAGGAGGCGCAGCTCAGCAACCTGGAGGTGGCCAACAGGCGGGTCGCCCTGACGCCCGGTGATTACCTGAACATGACGAAGGACTGCAGCAGCTTCAAGGAGACACGGCGGTTCATCGAGTTCCCGCTGAGCGAGGAGGAGGAGGAGTTCCCCATCGCCTTCTCCATGGTCATCCACGACAAAATCGAGATGTTCGAGCGGCTCCTGCGGTCCCTCTACACACCCCAGAACGTCTACTGCGTCCACATTGACAGCAAGTCCCCGGCCACCTTCCAGAAGGCCGTGCGGGCCATCGTAGCCTGCTTCCCCAATGTCTTTGTGGCTAGCCACCTGGAAAAGGTGATCTATGCCTCCTGGTCCCGGCTGCAGGCCGACCTCAACTGCCTGCAGGACCTGTTGAGGAGCCCTGTGCCGTGGCGTTACGTCCTCAACACCTGCGGCACCGATTTCCCCATCAAGACCAATGCCGACATCGTCCGTGCCCTGAAGATGCTGCGGGGGCGGAACAGCATGGAGTCGGAGAAGCCCTCACTCATCAAGCAGGCACGCTGGCAGTACCACCACAAAGTGGGGCAGCTCATCTCCCGTACAGCCACGCAGAAACTGCCGCCACCCCACAACTATCCCATGTTCACAGGCAACGCGTACATCGTGGTCACACGGGCCTTCGTGGAGCACATCTTCAAGAACCCCACGGTGCAGCAGTTCCTTGAGTGGGCCAAGGACACCTACAGCCCCGAGGAGCATGTCTGGGCCACGCTCAACCGCATGCCTGGCGTGCCGGGCGCCATGCCCCAGAACGACAAGTTCCAGCTCTCGGACATGAACGCCCTGCCCCGCCTGGTCAAGTGGCAGTACCTGGAGGGCGACACCAGCAAAGGCGCGCCCTACCCGCCCTGCACGGGCCAGCACCAGCGCGCCGTCTGCATCTACGGGGCAGGCGACGTGCCCTGGCTGCTCCAGCAGCATCACCTCTTGGCCAACAAGTTCGACCCCCAGGTGGACGACGCCGCCATCCGCTGTCTCGAGGAACACCTGCGCCACAGGGCCCTCTACGGCCGGGGACTCTGAGGGGAGGCGGCGAAGACCCTCGCCAGCACCTGCCTCCTTCCATGGGCGACTCCAGCTGACGGCGCCTCGGGGAGAGCGGGAGGTGCCGGAGCTGCGGGGCGTGAGGCGAAGCGGGCGCCGCCGAGCTGCCTGAGGGACCTTTGCGCGGGGCGGGCGGGAGGGCGCGCGCGGCTGCCTCCGCGCTCCCCTCAAGCGGCCGCGCGCGCAGGGGCGGCGGGCGAGCGCGGTAACTAACGGTCGGGCCGGGCCCCCCGGGGAGGGGGAGGGAGCCCCGCCGGAGGGGGTCGGTTCGGCAGGCCCCGACCCTGCCTCCTCACCCCCCAGCGGCCCCCGAGCCGCGGGCTTCGCCTCGGAGGCGGCGCGGGGGCCCGCCCGGCTTTCTGACAGACGGTCTTAGAGAAACGGGGCGGGGGGGGGGGGGGCGGGAAGGGGATTGTTTTTCCATTCTCTTTCTACGATCGGGTCGTAAAAGTGATCCTAGGCTCTCTGGTTGTAGACAGGCAGGGCCGAGTTATGGACCACGGTGACTCCAGAGCCTACTAGAAGCAGAGCTGGAACTACAATTCATTTGCTTTTCTACAAAGCACCTGGCAGGCCACCTGCTGCACTGCTCAGCTTAACAGGGAGCTGCTGCTTTTGCACCATGTGAAAGTTTACTTGCTGTCAACAGCCCTTAGCCATTAAAGAAAAAAAAAAAAAGCCTTTAATAAAATCAAATATACTGAAATAGGTGGGTCTTTGGTACTCTGTATCCTGTAGTCCTCCAAGGAGAACAGGTTCTGTGCCTAGACAGAGCCATTGAACCAATTAACCCCTCTGCGCCCCACTGGTAACAGAGGGAGAAGGATGCTGATATAGTTAATGGTGTGCAAACCTACATTTTCCTAACATCTTCATCTCCCTCCCCCCCAAAAAAGAGATTTTTGTGTGGAGTGCTGTCAGTAATATAATTGCCATATCCTGTAGCATATCTGGCCTTTTAGATGAACAGAACAGTCGTCCAACACATGGTTGTTTTCTTAAGTTTGGGGCACGGAAGGAACCCCAGCCTGATACAGTGAAAGACTGTTGAAAGAGGGACCTCTCTATTGTACCTGTAAAGAAAAATATATATTTCAGGTTACTTACAGATTTGTTAACAGCAATTCACTCTGTAACTATGTTTTAACTTCTTCAGCTGTTTGTTCTCTCAGAAATATGTATTGCTTGCATACACTATTTAAATAACAGTGTTTCATCTATTATTGACAGATAATGACCTGACCAAAAAAAAAAATGTTACAGATGGAGAGACAGAGACAAGTATTTAGATCAAGGTGGGGGGGAAATACAACTTAAAATCCGTTCCATGATAAGTTTTAGCAAAGGCAGAATAATTTTGCTTTTAATGTTACTTGTTGCAAACTATGCTCTTCCTGGTTAGACCTGGAGATAGTATCTATGCATTTATCCACATCTGAAAGCTTGCCCATAGAATATGAAGGCCTCGAGTGAAACCAGCATACCAGAAAAACAGCTTGGCAAAACACTAAGAGGGACAGCAGTTGCCTAACAATATAGCCTTCATAGCCTTCTCCATTCAAAGAGATCACTGATCTGTATGACAACAAATGTTCTGGCACTATTACCTGGAGATGTGAACAACTTACAAACTTCCACATCCAGTTTTCTTGATACAAAGAAAAATTTCAGTTTCTGTTGGTGTTACTACTCACAGCTTGATTTGGTTCCAGAAACAAAGGCGCATCTTATGCAAGTTTATTTTCAACTCACCCTTCTCCTTTTAATAGTGACTTATCCCTTCTGAAAGAATGAGACTACTCCCAAATTCAGAAGGTGAACTAAGACAAAAAGATTCTTACAAAGGAATGTTCTCAGCATTTCCTCTTCCAAAGACGTTAGAATCATTAACCAACAACCTGAACTTTAAATAAACCACCAGTTGTTGAAGGAGGAAATATGTTGCAAATTGCCATTTACCTTTCAAGATACGCTCAGCAGGAAGGTGAAACTATAATTCCAAAATCTAATCACAGATCTTTTTAAAAAAAAACAACTCACCTGGCTTTTAATTTATATTTTATTTCCAAGTGGCTTTCACTTTATTTGTATGAGAACAACCTAATGTGAGCTGAAACTGGCATAATACATATTTATACAGTGAGTCCATAAGCAGCTCTCCTGAACTGTAGTTAGGAGGGTCTATTTCCTTCTTGCTTTGCATTTCCTTCACACTCTATATGATCATCTCTGAAATGTCCTATAACAGAGATGGGTCAATTGAAATAAATCCAGAGGAAACCAGATAATAAATTCTGAAGAAACTAGAAGCAAACATGACCTGTATGAACAAAATATCACTGAAATATTTGCAGTCATGAGTAAAACTGATTCAGGGAACAAGGTTAGGGTGTCCTTTTTCTTCTGACTACAAGAGCAGTGACCATGAAACATTAACTAGACTCTCAGTGAACTATTTTCCACTTCCTTGGAGGGAGCAGGGTCTTTAGCGTAAGTTGAAAGCCAAAACATTAATATATCCATGACCTACTGCCTTACTAAGCCATAATGGCTAATTTATACAGTAAATTTATCTTTGAGCAAAGCTATTTTTCTAGCAAAGATCACCCCTTAAGTTACAGTGAAGGAAAAGTCCACACCTCCCAGTACAGTCTTACTAAAGTTAAAACGCTTTTTACAATGCTCCAACTTTTCTTCCTGGCCGCTGCCCCCCCAGCTTTTAGAACACAGAAAAACAAAACCAAGTCACTAGTACCTTAACCAAAATACTGCCTCCTAAGCTGCTGAGATCCTTAAAAGCAAATATCTGTGTTTCCAGTAACTCATCTACCTCATTGAACCCAGTCATTGTGTAAAACTACATAATGATCTTAATTAAACTTGTCTTCTGGCAATTCAGCATAATATTTAAAGGAAAGTGCAGAGCAGGAAGAGTTTATCAGAGACACACAAATTAAAGCCAGGTATTGACATCCCTGACTGAGCAAACAGCTTGCTTCAGATAACATCCTGTTTTGCACACTTGCGGATTTCCTTTTTCTCAGAAGCCATGTTTAAACATAGGCAGTCACCCACAACCACTTCTGTATTGGTGTGTATTCTTTCATTTTATTCACTTTCTTTTAGTTAATTTACTTCATAAATAGAAATATTTGTTCCAGCTCAAGGTCAAAGTGCAAAGGTATATTTTACTTTCTCTCTGCTACTGATAGGTGGAAGCAACTGTGACCTTCCTGAAGAAAATCAACAAAAAAAACCCCAATAAATTAATTAGTCCATAATACTACAGGCAAGGAAGAACCAAATAGGCAGCAGTAAGTATGCTGATGCTGTAGCAAGTGAGATGGCTTATCTTCCCCTGGTTATTAAAATAGCTTAGTATACCAAAAGTTCAGTTAACACTTCTAGGCATAAATTCAACAAATCTTCCAAGAGCACAAAGCACATTAATCATTGAACAATAATTGAACACGGAGGGATTAGTTGAAATTCTGAATGCAGAAAACAGCAACTGGCAAGGAAGTTATGGAGAATAAAGCCATAAAAAGCAGGAAGAATATTGGCACCAGATCCCCTTGCCTTCCCTTTGCTCCCCTCTCCTTCAGTGAACTGAAACAGCCTCCACAGAAGTAGCAGATCCAGGGCGTGGACAAACACCATTCCCGAAATATGGTTAGAGCTAAAAAGAATGTGTGCTGCCAAACTAGTGCCAGAGCTTGCGTTAACAGCTGTGGGGTTTGCAGGAATTCATTCCTCCAGAAGCACAGGCAAGCTTCTCTTCTGCAGTGAGCGGGCAGCAGTCTTCATCCCATAGGCAGATACTCCCTGAGGCATCACTGGAGCAATTCCAGACATCAAAAAGGTTATTCCCAAGAATTATTTACACCTCAGTATGTCTCAGGAGCCATTTTCTAATGAGATGGCAGAGTTAACAGGGTAAATACCTTATGTTGAATGGGGAGTTAAAGAAAAAAGGATAGTTTAGAAACAATTAGGAGTGAGTCCATAGGCTACAGAGAACTGGAGATTGAGAAGTTTCTGTCAAGAGACTGGAAGAGACTGCAGAGTTGGAGGTAGGAACAGCAAACTTTTAATACTTGTGAGGCCTGAAATTCAGTTTACCACATGATTATCAGAGAATAAAAAATGTTTAAACCTGGAAGATTGATTCTGACATAGAAAAAGAAGAAACCACAATACTGATATATATGTGCATCCTTGAAGATGATGACCTCAACAGGTACCTATTGGACCATTCAAATGAGAGCATTAGTCTGTTCTGGTTTCAAAATTGTTAATTACCAATCTGCACTTTGCAGCAAAGGACATTTAGCATAGATATAAGACAAAAAAAATAATGAAAAACTTGGAACAGTCTAGCAAGCAAGTTTGTGAATTCTTTTTATCACTTGAAGTGAGGGAAGCAGAAGTTAACCAAACCCTGAATATATGTCCTTTGATGTCCAAAGGTAGGATTTAGAGAACCGTAACATATCAGTCTGAAAAGGTATTAGAAGAAATACTACAGCTTTATTACTTTAATTAAGACTGGGCAACTGACATGGGGAGAAAGGTTTCAACATGTAAATTATTCTCCAGTTTTGACACAAACTAAAGATTTAGACTGACCTGAAAACAGTTACCCCTTGATTTTCCTTCTGTACTGTTTCCAGTTACTAGTGGTCTGTAAGTAGCCTACTTTCAAAAATAAATCGATACTGCTGAGGCAGCCAGCATTCCTATGACCACACCTGAACAGTCACTGCTGTTAAACTAAATGAGCTGTCAGTATATTATATTCATACTTCTAGTGAACAAAATATTTTAAGGGTTTCTTGATTTATTTAGTGGAATGTGTAAGCCTAACAAGAACCAAGTAATCTATTTGATATCTCAAAATTCATAGCTCAAATCTTTCACTGGAATCCTGTTGGCCAGGTACCCAATTAAATGTATTCCCCATAAATACAAAAAAAAATATAAAAACATGAAAACAAGCAGCACTAACAAATATTGAGAATATACTACAATCTTATGAGACTGTTTCATTATTTCAATTTGATTAGCTGTGCAATAACATTAATACTTGGATTAATGTATTATTAGCAGAGGGTGCCAAATGGACAAATTTATAGATAAAAAGATGCAGTAACAGACAAATATAGTGGCCAGCATGAGCTGCTAAGCTTTTGTTGAGGTCATCCTCCATCATTCTGAAACAGCCATTTTTTGCAGCACTATTCAGTGCAACCATACTCAGAACCCTGTAACTAAAAGACCTTTGCATTTGCAATGTTACTCTAAACACGTTTAGACAATATTGGGAGAACATATTATATTAATGATTGTTTTTAAACAAAGTTTTCCAATGATCACTCATTCACAACTTTTTAAATAAAAGTTTATTACAGAAATTATTTGGAACAAAAAAGGCAACAGTATCTGTTGTAATAAAAAAAAAAAAAAAAAGTAACATTGTATTCATTCCCTATAAGGTGAACTGAAGAAATGCTACAGGTATTTCTTCCGCTGTCATTCTGTGATGCTCTCTACTATGAATTAACTCACATCTGCATCACAAGAATTAAGTATGAACACAGTCCCTTTCCATGCTTCTCTCCACAAAGTGCTGCATATTAACAGAAAATATTGCAGACAAACCACAGTTCTATTCATTCTGCAGTATTGGAACCAGTGTCTAGGAAAGAAAAAAAGGAGTGTAAGCAATACATACTCCTGCTACAGTTGAGCATCAAGAGAGCTAATACCATTCTCTAATACAGTCCCCAGGTTCAAAAGCACTGCCCAAGCATTTTAGAACATGTTCTGTGCCTACCCAATTCCTCCACTGTAGTTTATTATGCATTTTGAAATACATGCAAGAATGAGCATCATCTTCATAAAACAACTGAGAGCAATCCTCTGCTCTGAACTTTTGTCAGAAGCACCAATTAGCACCCATGCAACTTCTAGTATCATTACCATTACTGCTTTCTTATTCTTACAGCTATGGAAAAAATACATAACTTGGATAGGGAGAAAGACAAGCTAGTGTTTACTATGTTCCTTTAGTAGGTCAACTTCTTGGAGGAAAAAAAGGCCGTAATGCTAGTAACAACTTTAAATCACCCAGTTCTTTAAATCTTATCTGAATACTTTATCAAGAATGAAAACAATTAATACTTGGGAAGTTAGGCTTCATCTACTAGCTATAATAAGCACACAAAAAATAAACAGAGCAAGATTATATGCTTGGCTAACACCAGAAGCTGAACAAACAAATTCTGTCAACTCTTTAGAATTACGATTTGAAGTGACTACTGTAATCACGCCAGGATCAGGAAGCCATGAACAACCTGTTTCAGAGGTCTAGGGTATATTTAAATAAAGCCTTTTCCATTCTCAGTTCTTCCTTTCAGCATCACTCCCCAGGGATGAAACACGTGGCACCGTTTCACACATCTTGAGCAATACCCTGTCACACTGCTGTTTTAAAAGTTATAAACCAGACTGCCACAAAAGTCACTAAATGACTTTTTCCAGTAAAGAATTTCAAGCAACACTGACAGAAGTAATGCAGTCAAGTAGATATGGAACATAAACTCCCATAAGCAGTGTACATACAGTGGGCCTGTTGAACAATATATAAATCTTATGGTAGCAAATGCTAGCATAAACTTTTCATTTGCTTGGGTCCCCTACTATCAAATCCAGCAAACAATTGCTTAGACAGTTTTCTCAGACAATTGCTTGCTCAGACCAGTAAAAGACTGCTTGAATTCAATAAAACATGGTGCTTTTCTAACAAACGGGTTAGTACTAGAAAAATCAGCACACAGAAATTCAATTAATATTAGTTCCAACTTTCTAACTGCTCTAGTATGTACTTCCCAACAACAGGTGTACAGCAGTCTCTAACACATTCCTATTTCAGTGCTTATGAGTTACAGAAGCATCTAGCCTGATTTTGTTTCATTTCTCATCATATGTAAAATGGAGTACAGAGCCCTACTTCTGTCTGAATAATACACTCAATATAGCTTTAATCAGACATTTGGTCAAAACTTTCTAAAAATGATCAAGTCTTGTGTCTCAGCTTATTTATATCATATTCCATACTTACTTTTTCCATCACATGCTACAATTTTCACTTTATCCACTTTCACAAGTTCAGTGACCTCCCTAAATTCAACATCATTCAGTACAAATGTCCATACGTTGTCACAGAACCTGTATGTATTCAGAGACCCCTTTAAAAAGACAAGAGACATTTTCATGCATCCCAAAAGTAACAGAAAATACGATGTTTACTATCTACTGACCTAGCGTTTTCCATAAAGCCCGTGAACCTGCATGCATACAAACTCAGCAAGCAAGCACTTCTGAGGAAAACTGGAGTTTAAATGCCCTCCAGTGGTTGATATTTTCAAGTCCATGTAGTGACATTATAGTCTATCCACCGGGAAGCTTCATGGGTATGCTAAGAAGTTTTATAACTTATACTGTTTATAAAGAATCCGTATCAGAAAAGATTTCTTAAAGCATGGGCCATAAGAAAAATCAGTTACAGCAATGATCACAACAAGATATGAATTCTGCAACTGTTCAAATAAAAAATAATGACAAATCTGACCTATGGGACATAAAGGAGTATCCCTCACGTTTGATGTATTACTGAGGATCTTCCTATGTAAATCTTTGGCCTTTACCTTCACATATTTTAAACCTAATGCCTTTAACTTAAGGTCCAAGTAACTTTTTTATTTCTCCACTAAACACATTCTGAACAGTTTTGTATACCATGTTACATACACAAAGCATGTTAAGCATGTTAGAGAAAAGAAGGTATGTCCTTTTTAGGATATATATACACAGTATAAACGCTAAAATCTTAAGAGCTTGCTTCATTAACGCATTCTGCATAATCTGTAGTGGAAATATTAGGACATAAGTTATCAGGACAACCATTTTATTTTTGGTTTTGGTTTGGTTTTCCTCAAAATGACAATCAAGTTGATATTTAACAATCTGCTGACTGACATTAATTGGGGTGGCTGGCTGGGAAATTAAAAACAAATTTGTTTTTCTATGACACCTACAGAAAATAGCTACAAAATGATCCAGTGACTTGTGTAAGGACAGATCTACAACTCTCTAGTCTCTCTTCACATTATAGGTGTGGCTGAAAATCTGGCCTCATCTCACTTCTGCTAGGTACAACTAAGAGAAGCAAAAGTCTCCTTCCCCATTTGCAAGACAGAGGATTGATCGCAATGCTACTCATCAAAGCATTTCCCTCTTCTCCTTCCCCTGTTTTCACCTGCCCACCAGATCTATTTCTGATTTTAGCATTCCTTCAAAAGATCCCTGGCAGAATAAGATAACAAGCCTCACAACTGCATACAGAATATACATGTAAGCAACCATTATTTCAGAGTCAAAATGGACCTTCATATAGTTTTGCTTAGAGCAACCAGCTTTTAACAATGTTCTGCATCAACAGTGTGTTACTGTGCCTCATGAAGAACTTTTCTGTGTTGTCAGCTTACCCTGAAATTCACTCTGTTCCTGACTCGTTGTGCCAGTGCTGAATTTATAGCTTTATCGAACTGCAGTAGCACCTGAAGAGCCAGTTGAGGTGTGATTTGCTGTGACTAAAGTAGTTTAAAAAAAAAGAAAAGTTTGGAGTTGCTTCAAAGTAAACTCAAAAATGCAACGAATATTAAAAACATCAAAACAAATTTCACATGAAGCAGATCTCTAGAAAAACAATTTACAGAATCATTATGTTTCTGTGTTTAGTTCCTTTTTTCTATTTTAAATCTGAGAGAATAAATGACGAGTTAACAATTTTGTGTGCTACATAAAGGTTTCTTTTGAAAAATATTCACTGGAAACAGCTAGAAGAAGAAGAAATTGATTATAGTGTTCCAGATTAATCTGGCCTTTCACTGACTGGGCCACGGAACAGGGAATTATGCCACTTACATAAAACATTCTCCTTCACCTAGAATGTTACGAAAAAGACTTCCCACGTGAATGAAGTACCAATAGCTTTTGATTTCGATCAGTAAGCTTTCCAAATGTTGGCCACAAGTACCCCGATTCAGCAACCACAAAGCCATTTTAATAACTAACCTCCAGACCCTAAACCCCCCACACACCTGTATGAGCTCGTCCAGGCTCTCCTGGAGACTGTTCCCCAGCGTGGTGTTTCTGTACAGCTGATACGCCATGGTTTACGGAGACGGGCTGGGCACCTTCCCGATCATCCACGGCGCTGGGCGCCTGTTAAGTCCTCGCCTTCATTAAAAAAAAAAAAAAATCTAAAGCCCACAACAAAGCCCTTAAGGTACAATGCGCAGCAAAAGCAAACAGAATATTAAAAATAACTCTACGAACACGGAGGGACCATTAGGGGCGCTCAGAGCACAAGCGCCCGGCAGAAGGGCCGGGAAAGGCCGCCTTTGTGCCCGGCGGGCACGGCAGCAGCGCGCCGGGACGGGGCCGGCTTCGTCCACCGCCCCTTCGGCTCCCAAACCCAAACCCGTCCCCGTCCCCCCGCGTCGCGCTCAGGGGGGCCGGGACGGGCTTTTCAGGCAAGCGCTGGGAACCGGGCGCCCCCCCCCCCCCCCACCCGCCCGGAGGCCGCCCACGGGGACAGGTGCCGGTCGCAGCAGCACAGCCGCGGGACGGGGGATCCGCGCGGACAGCGCCGGGCCCGGCCCCGGGGCCCCGCTCGGGTCAGCCGCCTCCTGCGGGCCCAGCCTCACCCGCTGCCAGCGGCCGGAAGAGCTGAGGGCCCCGCCCGGCCGCCCACTGCCCCGGAAGCGGAACGGCGAGGGCGGCGGCGGGAGCCGCCGGTGCTGCGCGGAACTGCGCTCGCCTCCGCGGGAGCGGAGCGCCTGGGCCCGGAGGCGCCGGGGGAAGGGGCGGCTGCAGGGCCCGCGCCGGCGCGGCGCCCCCACACCCACAGAACACCGAGTGAGGGCTGCGAGGGGTTAGGGTTAAAAAAAGTACCTGTATTTCCTGTTGAGGTTTACCTATTTGAGTGGCTGAAATCTAGGCCCTCCTTAAGCAAAGAGCTTGACCCATTTTACTCTATACTCCAACCTGTACCGGCTGCCAAAAGCCTTTGAGATAGTCCGCTCCAGCTGTCTTCAAAATGATTGTTAAATTTCACTGCGACTCATGCACTGGCACCTACAATGCTTTGGGAACCAAATTTAAATTTCATGTTTTTAAGAGGGAGTTGGTGGTGCAAACAATCACAAGAGACTTCCCTATTATCAATATATTCCTAAGCAATACAACAAAACATGCAGACCTTTTCCAAAGGTGATTTATTCCATAGCATTTATTTTTTTTTTCCTAAGTTTCCCATAAGCATTAACAGCTAGCATGTGTTTATCACATTACTCCATGACACCTTGGAACAAACAGAAAACAGAAGCTCATTTAAAAAGGAAGGATCATAACATTCTTAAGAGGTAGGCAAAAAGTCTTGTACTTAGTTTTATATAAAAGGGGCAAAGGAAAATAGTCACATCTGTGAAGAATATTAATAGTAAATTTAAGCCAGTTATATCATCTGTGATTCACAACCTCTGTTTTTGCATGACTACTGCAGCTTCATTTTGTTAAACACTGCACGTTTCCCTTATTAAAGTTTACTGATACTGATAGACAATGTCTTAACCCTCTTATCTACCACTCAACTGGTAGACCACCCTACTACTAGGGCTTTTTTCAATAAAAACGCTTTGTTCAGATGACTGAATAAAAAACACTGCAGAACTGCAGAGCCAATGGAAAAGCAAGCATCTGTCTTCCGTTAATATTTTTTTGTAATTATTAACCTGGAATTGTGTCATAAATATTAACTAGCAGCTGAGCAAGCTAAAATAAGGAGCATGGTGACTTTTTGAAAACACTCCAGTAGCTTCACAGGTTATTTTCAATAACAGTAATAAAAAATCTGTATGTTTAAATCAGAATAATCTGAGCAGTTGAAATTGCAAAACTGAAAGATCCAGTTGGGCAAAGAATGGCTCTAATTCCACTGGTCTCAGTCATGCTTGAAGGGAATAATGAAAACACTGTAACATGACTGTAGCCTCTTCACAAATGCCCTTTTTTCCTGTTAGCTCAAAATAGGGAACAAGACGCAATAAGGGAAACAAGGTAGTTCAACTTAGAATTTTGAAGCTAGGAAAGCTGCAAAATCTGTCTTTCAGAATATGAATATTTAAATATTCCTTATATTTCAGAGTGCCACTCTGACTAAAACCAGGTATCCTTTGAAAGCATAATTAAAGCACTTATTTCAAGCATCTCCAACAATCGCTCAGTGAAACAAATCCCCTAGAGAATGACCTGCATCCACAAGGACTGAGTAAGAATTTTCAGTGAAAGCTTTGCAAGACTTCTGTGGTTACAAAAAGCATACAAACTATCATCCCTCTCCCCTCTGTTCATTGTATGAGACTTTTCTGAGGGAGACTGGAATGACTTGAGAATTAAAGTCGTCTCCAAAGACAACAGCTTTTGGTAAGAGATGCATTTAAGCCATCTCTCTGAATAATAAATACTGTATAAATCTGTAGGATACACAGACAAAAATTTGACACTGGAAGAAATACACATTCTTTTCACCAAGAAACTTACTACTTTGTGACAGATATAGTTTAGAAAGTGCCTATTCACAATGTAGCTCTATTATTTTCTGTTAGCTACAGACATTTTAGCAGATGACATCAAAGAAGCTGACATATGACTAGGCACCAATGCCACCCCTCCTCCCTGTGACACACTTCAAGGTAATTTCATAAAAGATTCCATTACCACCATGTAATTAATCTCTAAATCTGACACAAACTGTTGACAGGTTAAGCCATCATTAGGGCACTTAAGTGTGTGATGCAACAAACTTGCTGAAACATGCTAACAAATACAGGCTATATACTAATTGTGTGCAATTCAGAATATAACTACTGTTTCTCAGTACAGTGTTCCTTACAGCAAGAAGTACAATTCTTTACTTGTTAGCTGAAAATAAAGAAAAAAAATATGCTGAACTGCATTGGTAAGAACAAGGTTACATATTATTTTAACTAGTGCTAAGCTTTTTGGAACCAAAGAAAATCACCATTTTACCATCCCAGAACCTCAAAGACTTCGATCTGCTTCAGCACTAAATCCTTATACATCCCTCCCTATTACTTTCCAACACAACATGGCTTTGCCATCCTACATAGAATGTCAACAACATTCACACAATCTAGAGTCTACTCACGTTAGTTTTCAATGACACTTTCTTCAAAATATCTTTGCCACTGCTGAACGTTTATCCTGTTGTAGAAATCAATTTACAAAATGTCACATCCACACAGAGAGGCCACTGGCCCAAACACCTCTATTTCAGTTGTGCGCAGTAATAATAAAAGATAACTAACGACTTATTACCACATATATAAATTAATGACAGCTCCAAATCAAAGGTAAATTAGTGACTCATGAAATTATCTTTTCTTGACAGCGCTCAAACCATATCCTAGCAACATGAGTTTTACTTTTAGAAGGAAATGCCATTGAATGGTGAATTCCCTACGATACTACATCTTATCACAAAGTGATTCAGGTTTTAAAATAACTTTTATTTAAGTATGACATTCCAACTTTTCATGTTTTTAAATACTGAAATATATTAAATTATTTTATAGATTTAAAAAAGAAGATAAGTTTGCCAAAAAGTTACTCATTTGTGTTCAAGATAACTTTGGGACCTCTTCAGTTTTTGTAAATGTCTACCTCACCATTAAATGATGAGCTGCAAAAGGTCAGAAGGGAATAATTCTTTAGTACACCTGTTTCTCAAGCTGCTTATGTTTAGGGATAGAAAACTTGTGCTGTAAATTAATTTTTAAAAAAACTTATACTAGAGAAATAAACCATTTGGTAAGCACATACACATTTCCAAAAGAAATAGTACTGCTGCAGGATGAAACAGTAGAATCACTCAGCCACCAGGAAAGACAGTAACAATCCCATCATTTGATAATACAGCCTATACAGAGGACTGGCTACTCTCTACTGCACTATACACATAGGAAGCAACAAGACATAAAGAACTACAACCCTTTCACTAAGAATATGATTTTACTGAGAATACTTTTTTTTAATTAGGAAAAACTGAAATGAGATGATCAGAATGCTTAGTATGTAGCTTGAGACCCACACAGAATCAGTAAAAACCAGAAAGGCTTACAGGTTTGCATGTTCATACACACCGCACTGCGAAAGTATCAGAAGTAAACAGGCTGCAAGTGTCCAATTTACTGACTGGAACTTTACATTAATCTGGGTCAACATCGAAATTGAAGCAGGAGGTAAGACAGCTCCAAAGAAACTGTTCACATTTGTGTTCTGCTTTCAGAGCAAGATCCAAACCTGATGAAATGGATGCAAGACAACCTGTAATTAGCACTGCCTGTTGAAAGAGAACACCCTACACATCAATCTCATTGAAACTGTGATACAGAAACTACCATAACAGAAGTACCTAGATCTTGAGATGAAAGTCTCTGCATGGCAGACAAGCTCCCAGAGACATGCACAATTTGCCCTCACTTGACATGAATATGGTCTCAGTCCACACATGTATCATTAGAGACAGTAGATTAATTGTTAATTGGTAGTAAGTCCTGACCATGGAACTCTCTCTTGGCTGCTATTTATCATTGTCAGGTAATAATCTGGTTGAATGCAACCTTTTTTTTTTTTTTTTATACACGAGAACTGTATAACATTAACTTTTAATATAATTGAGAACTGCTATTTTTGAGATCAAGACAAAATTGTGAGTATAAAAACCAAAAGCGAAGATTTCATATATTTGCTACAATATTGTATTGTTTAATACCTGAATGGATTTATTTGCATGCACCTGTCCCTACAGGGAAATAGCAATGATTATCAAAAGATGTTACAAACTTTTACAACATATCACCCAGTGCATTACTGTTGCCCTGATAAGCTAGTTATTTGCTCAACACCACCTCTTACAGACACAAGTTTATTACCGTTGTAGGGAAGGAAAAAAACACCAACCTTTAAATCACCTTTCTGTTAAGCAAAATTAGTTCTGGTATCATGTGCCAAACTAAGATATTTCATCCACAAGGTAGCGTAAGACCCAGCCATCCCACTGAAACAATTGATATTATGACTAGAATATCTGTGTAACTCCCAAGCTTTACTGAGTATGTACCGAGTTCCTACTGATGATAACCAATATTCATCCAGGAAGAACTACAATGAACTCATTTCCTACTGGTAGCTGAGATAGCTTTGATTTACTGAAGCAGAATCTAACTTCACAACTTAAATTGAGAAAGGTCTGGTATCTTATTAGCCATTCAAACAGTTCAGCTTCTACTGGGGCTTAGGCTTAAATCCTTTGGCCAACAGACTGAAGTTCACAGAACTGCAGTCCTGCATTCTGAAAATGGACTAGAAGACACCAAAGCTCAAACTCACTCTAGTGAGGTAAATGAGTACTGCCTGTATTAGGTATGTGAACAAAAATAAGGATCTCCATACTTGTGAAAGACTACATTATGTGATTGTTAATATCCAAACAAATTAAGGTTTCTGTGACAACAAAGAAATGCACTTGACCATTTACAGCAAAACAGATTTATACAGTAACAACAAGTAACTTATGGCCTTGTCTACCTGCAAAGGAATTCTTTCAGCAGGTACACACAAGATATTGCTCAGTCATAAAAATATATATTATCTCTTTCCTTTAACATTTAGGTATATAAATATTTTACTGAAGAACATGCATCATTTAGATAAACAATTGCAAGAACATCCTCTGAAAACGTAGGGTTCTTTGACATTTAGCAGTATAAAATGATTACATAAACGTAGCTATTAAAGTCAAGACAAACCAATACAGCAGTAAGCAGTCCATTGTGTGCTAGTCCAAGGAAATTTAAGCACCTTTTGCAACAGGTTATATAATATATACACACATAGAGAATGCATTGTAAATGGAGCAAAAATAGCATCATTCCATCTGCATATTCTTCAGTCTTGTTTGGATTCCAAACTTACTGTTCACTTTTCTGCTCTTGTTTTCCATTCAGCTCTTGGTCAACTCTGCTTAGCAAAAAAAACAACAGTAAAATTAAAACTATGTTAAATAGTAGTTCAGTTTGATAGTTCATCTATTAAGCAAAAGCTATTCATCTTAGCAGGAAAACACAAAGTTTTTACATGGAAAAAGTTTTAGTAAGTAAATATTAAATTAAGATTTTCATTGAATGCAGTCAAAACAATGCCTGTTTTTATTTTAAAAAAAGCATCTATTTTCCTACCTCCCCCTATAAATTAATTAAAATTGTTAAGAAACTATTTAAATAACTGTAGCATTCAAAAAGCGCAAGTGAAGTTTGACTACAGAAGAAAAAATGCAGGTTCTGTGCTTTTATTAATGAATGCAAGCAGGAATGCAAGTTTACAGGTAACATGACAATACCGTCAAGCACTACTACTTTGAGTTCATCACTGCAGAATAAGCACAGAATTACCTTTAATGTTATAGCAATTAAGTCAAGAAGATAACAGCACTAGTTGAATCAACAAAAGTTAAGTGGCTCCTTAGCTACAAGACTTTTTTATTAAGTTCTAAAACGCTTGTGATTACACAGAAAAAATTCACCATCATGCTGCTAAAACTGGGTTAGTTTTTTTGTTGTTTTTGTTCCATTTGTTTTTCGGTTTTGTTGGGATTTTGGTTTTTTTGGTTTGTTTTTTTTTTTTTTTTAAATCTGCCTTCGGACTAGCAAACAAAATGTTGCTTTGCAGAAACCAGTGATGGTTGACAGTCCTGCATGAGGTACTTTTCCTCTTTAAGATTGTAGCTTGTCCTTACTATGTCTTCCAGAAAATAAGTTGTGCATGAAGGCAAATAAAACCCATAAAAAGGGGAGGCAAGAGGGTGGTTTGGTGTTTGTGATTTTTTTGTTTGTTTGTTTGTTTTTTCAGCTGTAAAAACTAAACCTAGTACATAATGATTCAATAGGCCTGGAACAGTGTTGCCTAGAAGCGACAGTCCTAGTTGAATACCTGTTCATTTGCACAGGGTGCAGCTGCAACTCATCCCTGTCCTTGCTGCAGTATCTTAGAAAAGCATGTTCTGACATGAGTTATAAAACTAATCATAGAAAGTCTAAGAAAATATGGCAACCTAATGCAAACAAGCTATGCATAAACATAAAGCTGACAACATAAATCTATGGAAGTGTATTGCAGTCTAGCTTCCAAAGTGACTAATACACATAGCCAAAAAATTCCTACTGCCATCCTCAGCAAACTTAGTAACTGCACTTCAACACACCTCCTTTCCCCCCATTGTAATAAATCATGTTTACAACTGCTTTCAACCCAATTGAATTCGCAGTATCAAATAGTGCCTGTGATCTCCCCTCCATACATAAATTTCACTTAGGAACATACCACTTTTTGTAAAAAGTGATGGTAGTGTAAGTGGCGATATCACCAGGAACACCAAAAAGTGCTTGCTGTACTGGAGATTAAGTTTTTACATTACTGTTTGAATGTGACAGGTTTGCATCCTGAATATGATGGGCCTCACAATAGAATTGGGCCAAATTATGCATGCTGGGGGGGAAAAAAAAAAAAAAAAAAAAAAAAAAAAAGGATCAAGCAGAACTGCTGTTCTATATGTACTAAAAGGGTTTCTTGAATTTGACAGGCTTAGTACTTCAGGTTACACACCACAAAATTATCAGTTCATTGGAATAATTCCTAGAAAATGTTCAACACTTGTCACTAGCTTTACCTGCTAGCCTTCAGAAATAATTTAAATTGCTTTTATTTTAATCTTTCAGTGTTCCTCTCTATGTCCATTACCCAATTTAGACAATAAGCCTCTCTCAATAGTTATGCACACACAGTGACAGTAATTAAAAAAGCAAAGTTAGTAGCAAAATCTTTCAGTACATTTGTTAGTGACAGTGGAAAAAATAATGTATCCATTCCAAAAATTTCATCAGCTGCTGGAATAGCTTGAATAGTTAGCAGAAGATTGAAAATTAACAAAATGAAAATCCAATGTTTATTAGCAAGGAACATAGGCATTGCAAATACAAACAGCACTAAAAATACTCATTTAGATTGCATCTGCGCAAGTTAATAACTAAAAAGGTAGTGAATACCAAAAATACAAAATACAAGATTCAATATTAGAGCCTTTTCCAGTTGCATCTCTGCTGATGCATAGCTACAGCTTAGCACCTAAACCCAGCTCTTCCTTCAGACATCACTTCTAGTTAGAAACAGTGAAATTAGATTTAATCAATTCATACAGAAGCACTACTTTTGCCTCTTGAAGATTCAGTTGAGAATCCTCATATTCCCTTAAAAGTGACTATCTCATGTAGTGGAGAATATTCACAAATATCTATTTAAACATCCAGGGTGAGTTCTTTTCGATGATATACTGTACTTGCAGGCAGTATAGTTACTTTCATGCATAAAAACTTCGCCACTAGTGCATGTTTATATTTACAAATGCTTATTCCTTTATGCAAGCCAATCAACTGGGAGTTAGTTGCAGTGCAAATTGTCTTATCTAGATGCAACCCTAATCAAAATATGAATATACCTTTTCTGTTTCTTTCTAAACTTTTCTTCTTCATACCTTGGTGAGGAAAAGTTTGATTTCAGTAAATATAACATATGAAGGCCAAATTCAACAGCAGCTGCAATCTGGTATTAGTGTCAATACAGTTTGTAGAAACATATCATGTTTTGAAACTGATATAATTAAGAAAAAATATATTGTACCTCTGACATTTGTAAGCATTAAACAAGCAGCATTAATATTTAGTTACTATGACATAACATACGAATTCAATACAACTTCGTGTACAGTATTAACATCCGTCACTAAAAGGTAAAGTCTGTATTTGTAACAGTTTGAAGCCAGATATAATCCTCCATAGAAGTCTGAGAACTAACTCCATAAGTCATCCGAATTCAGCCTTTGCAGAACAGTTAAAGGTTCACCAATACAGAAAGGAGTCTTTCAAGACTTGGAATGACAGTCTGAATATTCATAACACATCCCTCAAAAGCCACAGTAAAAAAAAAAAAAAATAGTCTAAAGCTAGCACAAGGCTGCTTCAGCATTGTCATACCTTTCCTCCCTGCACCCAAAAAACTGCATTTTCTCTATTTCATAATAAGTTAAATTGTGCAACTGATACCAGCTGAATGTTTACTGCAATAACCGGTCATTTGCAGGGGTGGAGGAGGGATTTGTCCAACATGGATGTGCCCTTCTGTTCACACAGTGAAACTGTGTCATCTTTCCTTATGGAGTTCCCAGTTTGTGATCACTTACTGTAATGCATACTCTGTAGGTTTTTTACATTTTACCCTCTAATAGGCTGATTAATTTATCATCAGATTTGTTAGTATTTTCAACTGGCTTTTCTAAGACCCAAGTTTATATTTTCTACTCTCTTACTGTACCCACAAATGCTACTGACAAAAGTCTTATCATCATCATGTTTGACAGCAGAGTTAAAATTTATATCTGGAGGGAAGGAAGAGAAGAAAACCAAGGACAATGATGCTGCCTTAACCTCTCCACCAAAGTAGTTTTAGAACTGTTATGGGTAGGGATTCAGTGTTTTTCCACCACAATTCTTTTAAATTATATCCCAACCCAACTGATATTTCACCACTTAACTTGTCCCACATGTTAGCATGAACACTGAAGATACTATAAGCAACTTCAGTATCAACATGCCCAGAACTTCTCACTCACAAGCCAGTTTAGTATATTAATGTGTAGAACAACTGGAATGAGGCTTTGTCTCTAGATGACTTAATTCACACCCCATAACTTGGTAATTACATAAGGCACTATCTGTGAAGAACCCTACACATTAACATTTTGATTAGCCATGCTACTGCATACCAAACTGTAGTTAGCAATGTGGTCAAACATGGATACTCCTCCTAGAGATAGTAATGATCTGAGTTAAATTAAATTTTATTAAATGCAAACTATTACATTCAAACCAATCACTGAATACAATAGATACTGGTTCTAAAACATGATCAGTGTAGAACATGTTTGAATAATAAAACGTACTGTTTTATGCATTCTGGGATGCCAACGTATTCCATGGGGATGAGTTCAGCTAGTTCTGCCAGGGTAAAGACATACCTAATTTTTTGGCTGAATTTTGAGCTGTGGAAGAACAAATGCAGGGTACAGTTACAACTTAAAAATTTTTCAGTAAGTCAACATTAAATCAGTGTTTGACGTACACAGTTGTTAGGATTACTTTTAAAACAACAAAAAAAAGGAAAAAAGAAATAGCTTCCAGAATATTACCTAATAAAAGGTTTTGTGATGGCCAGAAGTGTTCTGATGAACCAAGAAGGATGAACTATGATTAATGATTTCAGATTTTTCCTTAACCTGAAGAATTCAAACAGCGGACATAATTACTAGAACAAAAAGGCAGCATGACAACAAGGGTTTTTTTAATGTATAAAAAGTATGTTTTTGCAAGCACAACTGTCACATACATCCAGTATTCTGACACGCCATTATTAATTACCATCTGCCAGAAGAAAAAAAAAAATACCACACAACTGTATAGTCAAAATTTAAGATATAGTATCAGTTTGACAATGACAAGGGAGTAACATTCCAAAGAGAAGTTTCTTTGAATCTTTTTACATGACTAATGAAGTGGTTCATGAAGGACCCCCCTTACTACCTTACCATATTAATACATCCAGTTTTAAGGATGCAGTAACAGTATTAAATATTCTGACACTACAATTTTCACTAACAAAAAAAGCCCGAACAAACCAACCAGGCATGCCTGTATCATTATTCCACATTGTCTAACCTAGAAAGAGGTTTTCGATACACAGAGCAATTTGCTGCATTAAATCTTAACCAGCAGGTACCAGACACCACAGCAAACAGCAGTTTTTCCTAAATGAGCATGTGGATACTGTAATAAAATACTGCAGTGCTTCTTACCTTCTATCAATTTGCTGGTAACATTTCCTAAGCCAACTTAAACTTGGCATTTTTCTCCGTGTTGTTGCACCATTCAGATAAACTATCATATAGTTCTCTGCTACTAACAGCTCTAAAGTGCCAATTACATACCTGCAGAGACAAGCAAAGAAAACTTTAAAGTGAAGATCGGTGGATATTAAAGTAATTCCTAGCAGTGCTCAAACATATTTAAAAAATACAGAGTTGGCAACAGCATTGAGCAACATCTAAAAATGATTTTTCTCCTTCCCCTGGAAGCAGATGTAGTTGCTCTTCTATTTGTCACCTTTCCCTCATCTGAAATATAAAAAGCTTCATTAAAACAAGAGAAGTAATTACCCTTACATTAAAATGCAGTTTCACAGTGTTAAGTTAAGACAGTATTCAGAGGCAGATGATGACTTACTTAAATAGATTGTCCATTAGGTATCTGTAGTTAGGCTGGCTGCTTTCAGGCATAAAACAAACTGCAAACACAACAATGGCATTTAGCCCATCACCATAATAACCTAAAGACAAAGAAAAAAGCATCAGTAGGGACAAAGGTGACCACACACTGGTTACATTTACATGAAGTCAAGCATATTCAGCAAGATTTTTCATTATTTACCTTAAGAGACCTACAAACATCTACTCTATATGGACAGATTCATACAGTTACAGGAAATACCAAGATTTCTTTTTCAAGTTTGTCTAATTCTACAGAAAAAGTTGAAGTTGATGTAAATCAAATGCTGAACTGACAATCAACATCTCAGTATGTTTAATAACATTTTATATGGTCAACTTTTCTTCTAACCTGAACTCCACAGACCGCTGGGAAGTCATTAAATTGATTTATGCCTTAGTAGATCTGTAGTTAATGCTTTCAGCACTCTTAAAAACAAGAAATTATACTGGTAGCACTGACACTGTAGAACAGGTAAGTACATACTACATATGTGCATGTTAGTAGCTTCATCTGAACATGTGTACACTTTGGAATTTTAGTTTAACAGGGAAAAATATTAAATTAACTGTATGCCTTCATACTGAAACAAATGAATCATCACATGAGTGTTTATGACCAAAGCCCTTCCTGTGCTACCCCAACTCAGCTTAAGGAAGTAGTTTCTCAACAGTTCTGCTCAGCACATCGCTAATCCTTACCACCATGACTGATAACTTTCTTATATGGTTCAATTGCCTTCATGTCCACCCTATGGTCTTGTTCTCCAATCCTAAACATTCGCCAGCGTCGATCATCATCTTTCTCCTCCGCTGCAGTGTATTCAGTAAGTGATCCTTTCCTAATTACATCAGTAGTTTTTGGTTTTGGAAGATCATCTGCCAAAGTTAAAAGATGTTCAAGATCCATTATGAATACTTTGTATAGTGACAATCAATTACAACACTGGTTAACCACTTTGCTATCTAATTATTTTAATATTCTTTATCCAGTCAGACATATCATTCCTTCAGTCATTACAAAATAGGATCCCATGAGTGTCATATTTTATCAAAATATTCTCTTGTCAGTTATCTGTTGACTATAATTTTCTGTGTTAAAGTACAGGACAAATTTCCATTAATGTAGGAAGCCCATTTAATTGTAGGCTTTCAGAACACAGACCTTCGTTAATCTCACCAAAATAGACAAAGTGGTTAACTTCAATTATAATTACACAGGTTGCTTGATCACAGATTTACATAAAAGCATGATTTAAAACATTGACAGTACCTTGCAAGCAGACATGCAAGCAAATCTATTAGAAATCAAATCTAATTCACATGTGTGCAATCAATACATATGAAATTTATGCTAACAGCAATCTAAAACAATTTCTTCCAATTAAGTTGATTCTTGACTTTGTTACATAGACCTTACCCAAAGCGAGAAAAACCTACTGCAAGTTAGTTGTCTGTTCCCAAGACAAAGCTGTTAATTGAAACTATCCTTCCAGGAAAATGAAGGCAGCAGCATTAAAGGAAGAAAAGACAGAGACCCTTTTCAGCCACTTTTAAAAACAAGGCACAAACATCCGGAACACTTCCTTTGCATCATTGTAAAACTAACCCTAAATACCAGTTCTTTTTCACTAAAAAAATGCAAATGCTTTTACACAGGTAAACACAGTCTCTTATGAAAACTTCACCTCCAGTATGTCGTCAGCTATTAAAAAATAAAAAAACACCTTATCCTAAAGAGTGTTTCCTTATCCATTTATAAGCTATCTTGGAATGAAGAACAGGTAGTGTTTCATACATATCAGTGAAAAGAAAGTTTCCTGTTTACTCAGGAATTAAAATTATTTTATTTCCAGAATAAAATAAGAGATTTTACATATTTACTTATTAGAGACATTCTTAAGTTTCACGAAGTTTACAGAAGTTAAAGACTCCAACTGCTTGACCAACACAACAGTTCTTGGCTTACACAAAAAGGCCTTAAAACAAGATTAAACTAAAGTTTAAAACTTGTTCTTTAACTCATACACAGAACTTTTTTGCCCCAAATACAATTTGCTAGAATCTCTAGGTTTTGCCTATAAGAATGAAGCAACTATTAATTTCTTAAAATTAAGAGCGTTAATAGTGTGGCTATAGCTAAACTAACTTCCTTTGAAGTAATTTCAGAGTTCTTTGACACAAAAGAGGATCTTCTACCTCCAGTCAATCCAGAAAGCTCGTAAACTCTAAGGCTACTGACCTTTTGCCATTCTCACAACAATATGATATGAGATCAGATGCTATTCTATCTTTAAAAATAACATTCAGACCTCTTTAAATACAACAGCTTGCAATTCCTCAATTTCTTACTAGCTAGTCAATAACCTACATCCCTATATGTGGTTCACCTCTATTTAAAACTGATCTACAATACATGTGAAACACCTTAGATATTTTCATTTCCCCGAGGTTGACTCCTTCAAATATACTGCAACACAGAGGATTTTCCATAGCTTCAGGTCTTACATGTGTTTAATGACCTTCACCTAAGTTTATTTGGAGTTACAGCTATTATGTTGCTTGTTTACTAATCAGTCAAGGTCTGATTTGCTCTTTGAGAAGTCATTGTGCCTATTTCCAATTTCTAATTTAATCACTCCCTTTACCTTTTTCCTCTTGTAATACTGAGTCATAGTTATTTCCCACCTGAAGACCTGTTGATCTGCACATAGAAATATTGTAGGGCATCAGACAAAAGCAACAAAATACTTACCCTCCCATTCAAACTCATTGCTGTTTTCTGAAGGAGTATCTAAATCATCCAAATCAATCTCTCCACTCTCATCCAAGTCATCAGACAAAATAGATTCCTCACTGTGATCCAAAGTTAAGCTAATATCTGGAGCCATTAGTTTCTTCCTCACTTTGGTTCCATTAACCTCTGTATTTAAAAAAGCAAATTATTTCTTTTCAAAGCTAAAGCAAGTTTAGATAAGCATATTAACAAAACAAGAGAAGTGTTTTCTCAAAATGTATTATAAGTTAATGCCCATAATTTAAACAATGTATCTTTGGAATAAATTAAACACAGGGTGAAAAGAACAGCACTTAGAAGTCAAAGTTCTGAAGTCCTCAAGACCATTAAGTTTACCTGATTGCATACACACTATGACCACAGTGGTAGACCACCATACACCCTACAGATGAAAAGCCTGTAACGCTGCTGCCACCACCTAAGCAACTATTACCCACAGTAGCTACATCAAAGCATAACACAAATTGTTCTAGATATTATACTAAGTAAGTCTTGCAAATAATGCAATAGAATCATGTCCCTAGCCCTTGTTTTCGTTAGGTATTGGTAATATCATAACCGTCTTCGGTAAAATAAAAAATAATATCCAAGTTGGAGGAAAAAAAAAAAGCTGCTGAAAGATAACAGTGAGGACAAAAAATTAAGGAAACTGTTAGATGAATACAAAGCACAAGGACAGCAGGCGAAAACAGGAAATAAAATGACTGATTCAACTCTGGAAATGCCACCACTAAAACAGACTGACAAGATCCAAAAATTTTAAACATTAACCCCCCCCCCCATCTGTATTATTTCCCCTCTGACCACTCAGACAAGAAACACTCTTGAAAGGCCACAAAGGTCTGAAATTTGGAGGGAAACTAGGGGAGGTTCTAACTGATGCACAGAAGCCAAATAATGAACCAAGATTTTAAGACAGGTCAGAAGTGAGTGCAATAATTAACTTTTGTCCAATATTGCCTGGATAGCTCTGTACACAGGGAGGATGAAGAGTATCGTATTTTATTCCAAACCCCTTTTCTTTCTAGACAAGATGTTTATAGTGTCCTTTGCATACAAAAATGCCATTTGAATACAAAAACAGTGTTTTGAATTCTGTTTCCTCAAGCCTGACTCCAAAAAAAACCCAACAAACCACCAACCCAACCCCCCCCAAAAAACCACCCTAAAACATAATGGAGCTTTCAAACAGCCATCTAAATAGGAAGCAGTCAGCTTGACTGGAATGGAATGTTCTTACCAGCTTCACCTTCTGCTCCAGCTGCAGCCAATATATCTGACTCAACTGGATCATCCTCTGGCAGGGGCCTGGTGCACAAAAGAGAAACTACTGTTACAAAACTTTCTTTTTCTTTCTTAGCCAGCTAAATGCCAAATAATTAGATTTACGCACTGCTAAAAAAAAAATCCACCATGGGATAGTACTGAACTAAATTTACTTGTAGCCTAAGTTCAAACTTTCAGAAAACAAAGCACCAAAGTAGCAGAAAATTCTTTTACAGGATTCAAGTAACCATCTGTTGATGTGACAAATGTCAAAATACTGGTTGCTACTAGCTTGTGTCACCCTTAAGAAAACTTGTCATACTCTTGACAAAATTTGACATTAAATACATTACAGAAGTAATTTTGTCATGCTATTATAGAATGCCTCTGAAGTCAACTGATTTAGTTTCTTTGGGGGCCCAAGTATCACTAGCAGTCTCAACTGTTAAAAATTTTGCTGAGAAATGTTGTTTAATGTAAAATTTGGGCCTTCAGACACTGGTAATAATACGCAAACCACATAGCTGCAAAATATTACCATAGAAAACAAAGCCAAACTTAAAATTTTCACTTCAGTAACACTGGAAACTTAACCAGTGGCATTTCTGTATTATTTAACGTACACATTAACATGAAGTAATCCCTTTCCAGACCATCAAGAAACATGCCACGAAATCTTTTCAAGACTAGTATATTAATGGAAATCACTTCAAGATTATTACTGTGTTAGCTCACCAGGAAGATAAAGAGACAGCTTATTCTGAATGTTATGCATTTGATTTGAATTTAAAAAAATTTAAAACCTTGGAAAATCTTCATCTTGCCATTCTTCCTTAAACTCAACACCTTCCATTCTCCAGCCAACTTGAATTGTTAAGAGAGATTCCTGATCAGCCAGAACCTCTTGTCTTCAGGACAGTGGGCTAAAGAGCAGCTGCAGGAACATAACAGATCATGCTAGGTCAATACTATTTTAATTCCTATACTTGCAACACATCCTTTTACTTATCACCAAGTTGAGGTATTATGCAGGAAATAAAAAACAAACCAAAACAAAACCAGGGAAAAGTATGTGGTTTGTTTCCATTTTGTTGATTTCTTTTTTCCCCATAAAAAACTGCATATGGAATGGTTTATCATACAGTCATTTAAGTTGGAAGGGATCTCACGCAGCCCAATTCCCCACTCAAGCAGGATCAACCTCTCAGTTAAAATCAAGGCTCAGAGCAACCTGATCTATCACTTAGAATTACACCAGTTCAATCCAAACTGTAAGAAACCTGACATCTCTCTAGATTCTATAGTTGTATATTTGGAGGGGGGAAGTCCAAACTAAAATACAATGCATTTCTAAAAAAGAACAAACAAAAACAAACCTACAAGCACTTTAATGATAGCTATTTCAGAAAGTTTTCAGAGAACTCACCCTGGGATGTGCAAGTCAAGCTGTGTTTTTTCAGGCTCACCCATCACCAGCAACAAGGAATCCTCAATAATGGAACATAATAAACCATTCTACTGACATGTAAGTCCAAGCCACTTGACTCTTGGCGGTGTTGGCTCTAAAGATTGGGAGGAACAAGCAAACTTATCAGTGAAGATGGTAAGAAAATCAGCACTAACCAAAACAGAAAATGGTATTTTTAAGTGCAAAGCAGAAATCACAGAACACCAGTAAGTACAAGGTTTGACTGCAATCATATTGCTAATTAAGCCCGAGACAATTTTTTACATGAATATAAAGAAACAAGTCACCCTTACTGTTCTATGGGATCACCTTTCATGACAGATCGCAATTTCCTTTCTCCTGACTTGATTACAATCACAGACTGATTTTAAAACATCTGGCAATGCTTAAAGCTATACTATACAAGCTGATTAATAAATACATTTTAGAAGACTGATTTCTTGTAAAACTGCAGTACCAAGACAAATTAAATACTAATAACCAAAATTTAAGCTTATTTTACTGACATTTCTCTGCTTCCCTCACCCAGAAAATTTAAATAAAATTTCTAGAAGGTAGCAATCCAGTTCCTCTTAAGGGTCAGACTCTTCTTGTTTGAACTGTTCAGCCCCTGCACTGCTCAGGGGCTGGCAGTATGTGCCTGTGCAATCTCTAAGAAGTTGCCCCCAGCAACTGTCATCCCAGCTCTCCCTCTATTTGTCCTTTTTGACTAATGCTGTTCGGAGCAGTTTTCTCCTGCTTGCATCATATGACTTCCCTCATGAAACATGTCCTCTTTTTCAGTAAGATGATGATATTCTCAGCATACAGTTAGTTTGTCCTTCGTGCTAACCTGCTGAGTGTTTGCAACATTAAATTTAAGTATTTGTTTGGAGATAAGATCACATTGCGATTAGTAGTAATAGTGAATACATGCACAGTTCTTGATGCATTTGTTTCAGGACGCTGAGATGAAGCACAAGAAGTTTCACAAGGTACCCTACATTGTCAAGAGAATACAGTGGTTACAACCAGTATGGAACAGAACATCTGATGCAAATACACAGTTCACTGTAAACAAACAGACACTAAACCTAAAGGAAAATCTGAACTGATGACAGGCACAGATGAAGAAATTAAGAAAACTGACAATAAACAACAAACACACATACCCCACCACAAACCAACCCTATCACTGTGCTGGTAGCTAGAAGATGCTACTCTTAAGCTTGGCTGCACTGCGTTCACAATACAGTTCCCACAAGCCAGGATGAAGTAGGGTTTTGCTCCAAGACTTTAACAGTCTTCTCACTGCAATTCTGAAGAGTACCAAGCACCAAGTAACATCTATTAATTTCAGATGTACAGTGTTTCAGTGCAGAAGCAATTCCTACCAGCATGTATTTCATTACACTGAAATAAACTTGATACACTAAGCCAGGCAGAGTTTAAAAGTTACTCAGGCTGTAATCAAAGTTTAAGACACTTTTACAAAACACTTCTCACATTACTTACAGATTTCTCACTAGCAACTTCTCATTAAGGCAGATTTGAAAGCAATCATTCACTGAATAGCACTTAATATAACTGCAAACAACTTGCAAGGCAAGTTCCAAGTTCAGCATCAGATAAGCTTGAATTCAGGTTTTCAGCCTCCTACTTAATATGCAGAATAGACAGTTGGATGCTCCAACTTAAAGTTTCATGTACAAAAGCACTATAATTTGTCAATTGGAAGAATGAGAAATTAAGGAGGAAGTATAATCTCAGGTAAATTAGAAGAGTGCTGACTTCAAAGTTAACTACTGAATACTTTTACAACACTAGCATAACTGCTTACAAAGCAGGGAGAAAAAAAAAAAAATCTATTTCTGCTCATTCAAATTAAACCAGACTTTAGAATAGTCTTCCTACAGCTGCTGTGGTAGTGCTGACATCTTCTGGTTTTACTATGCCAAAGTCTCTTTACAAAGTTTGTAAATCAAAGATCTAAAAGTTTAACTTGGAAATGTAATCTATTGTAATAACTCAAGTATTTATTAGTCACATAGAAGAAAAGCAATTAATTTCTAACTGATCCTACCATTCTCCATAGCCAACTCAAAAAGACATGGTTCCTGGGAACAGCAAACCTGATTTTTACTCTCTGTCGCTCATTACTTTCCATTTTACTTAAAGAAATAGAATTGCAAGACTGGGAGCTATCTAAAGGTCTGAAACTTCAACACACAAAACATCTGGATGCAGGATTGCCATATGATTCTGCTCTCTTTCTGGAACCACTGGACTTTGGTGCTCAACAATGTCTTTTCAAGTATCTCAACAGGCAAGTTAGGACATTACAAAAAGAAAAATAACAAGTGAACATATCACTAAAACTTACTACTCTTCCACTATAAATTGTCATTTTTAACAATTTAGTTTACAGATACTCTAATCTGTCCCAGATACTGAAAAAAGAAAAAAGACAACAGAATGCATGAGATTAACTTAATGAATAAGTTTAAGACCCCTTGCAAATAATATTTTTTAGGTTTTCACCCGCATTCTTGGAAGGATACACAAATAAGTAGGAGTTATGCATTTATATGGTCATATCTGTCTATCCAATACAAAGACCCATATTCAGCCCTTGGTCAGCACCTCAGTGTTTGAAGTAGAATAAACAAAAAGTTTATTTTACAAGACAGTTGCAATGATGAGCACACTATTGAACTATGTACCCGATCAGCAAAGAACAGAGTGCTGTTTCCATCTCAGAAAGTCAAAATCAACTTCAAAAAAAGGTTAGCCTACTTTTTCTACATTTCACCTTCACCATTTCAACAGAAACGTCAACTGAGCATCAGTTAAGTGAATTGAAGAGGTGCCTTTAAAAATATTTTTCACATTTGATTTTACAGCAAAACACAAGTCAGGAACAGATATATTTTCTGGTAGACACATCCACATGGTACAGCTCACTGTGATTTCTAAATGTTTTTATAACCTCCTTGTTTTTCAGAATGTGGCCACGCTAGCTATGACCCCAGGAAACATTTCTCAGCTCTGAACACAGACATCCAAACTTTATCACTCAGAAGTTTACACAGAGGTAATGCAAGAACTTTTATTAGTAACAAGTCAATTCTTCATCTCCTTTTACTCCTTTCTCTCAGCATCTAAGCAGGGAGAAATCAGTCAAATAAAAGACAAAACTTTGGAAAACACTCTTGCTTTCATGTCTGAAGATACTACCTTAAACACTATTCAGAGCAACAGAAGAATCTGCATTTCTAAATCACCGAGATTCATTTGAAGGTAAATACTAATTTACCAAGCAAGAATCGAGAAGAACTTATACCCTACCTAAGTACAATCAATATTCCTTTGTAAAATTTAAACACGCGTACAAGTTAACCGGAGGTAGTTACTACTATATATTAGCAGCTGGAAAGAAGCAGGAACTAAAATAAAAAGCAGTAGAAAGCAACTAGCTCTGTGCCACGGCTCCACCGCGCATTTGTTAAATCTACATCGGGGAAAGTTACTCCGCTCACCCCCCCTCTCCCCCAGCCACGCAAGAGAAAACCAGTCTCCGTGGCTCCAGACACCCCGCCGGCGCCACCAGTGAGACCGGGGCCGATGCCCGGGTGCGACCGCCCGGCCGGGGCCGGGACCGCCGAGCGCAGCCGTTACGCGCTCGGAGCCGTTCCCGCCGCCGCCGCCGCCGCCAGAGCGAGGCCACCCGGCAGCGGCCCTCCGGCCCGAGGCGCGGGCGAGCCCCGCCACCCCTCGCCCACCGGCGGGAGGCCGGGCCGCGGCCCCGCCCTACGCCCGCACCGCCCGGCCGGGCTGCACCCAACGGCGTGAGGCTCGCGGCTCGCCATTACCGCCCCTCCCGCGGCCGTACCTGGCGGAAGGGGGGGGGGGGGGGGAGGGAAGGAGGAACGGAGACCGGGCAGGCCGGGCCGCACCGCGGAAAGGCCCCGCTCCCCTGCGCGCCTCCGCTCACCCGGAAGCGCATAGGCCACCGGAGTCACGTGATAGCCCCGCGCCGCAGGGGGCCGGCCCGCGCGCGCGCGCAGTAACGCCACCGCTGCTGCCAGCCGCCCCCTCCGCCCAGTTGGCACGTGCGCAGTCTCTCCGGGCGCGGGGCGGGGTGGCGCTCGTGCCGCTCTGAGGGGCGGTTTTGGGCCCGCTGCCGGTCCCGCTGCCCACCACCCGGGGACGCGGTGAGGCTGAGGCGTATGGCCCAGGCCGCCACCAGCCAGAGGCGATTAGCGGCGCTGCGGCTGCCCCTGGGCACGGACAGCTCCCTCCCCCGCTGCCCGGCCTGCCGGGGCAGCCGCCTGCCGCGGGAACGGTAACCGAGAGGTCAAGTCCTGGGACGCAGAGTGGAAAATAGCAAGTCCACTCACCGAGTTCCATGCGTTAGTGTGCTGTGGCGGATACTTCAGGCGCTCAGGAGGGTATGAGATGACTGTCAGAAATAAGAGTGGAACCTTCTTCATGAGGAAAAAGAGAACAGATAATACTATATACCAGTGAGGCCACGATGGCAGAGTTACTGCACGAAAATAATGAATCTCCACATCATTTGAAACTACAATTTCAGCTGCATAAATACAGCACCCAAAATACCATCCTTTATAATGTAATGTAGTGGTATTATATACAAACAACAGAAGCACAGGAAGTTGAGACAAATCTCATTTTCATCTTTTTCACATACCTAAGAACGGCAATGGTAGTCAGCGTTACTAGGAGGAGATAAAGATGGAAGGAGGGTTTTGGCTAAGGTTTAGAACTTGCCACTAACACACTGTTATAATACAGAGACAGCTACTAGCTTGATCATAGCTAATCACTCACAGCTAATCTATTGCCCAAAGGTGAATGATGCAACAATAGCAACAAAGTTTGTTTTATTGTGGCTACTGAAGGGACTTGGAATAAATGTCACAGAGTGGAGAGAAAGTGTGGAAGGAATTAAAAAGTGATGTAAGGGGGAACAAAATGAAGAGGAAAACATGAGAAAGAAAAACCCCGCTACAGAAGAACAGCAAGCACAGGCACCCCCAACCAGCAAGGATAAAATCTACGGATAACAGGAAAAAAAGCAATTATTAAGGTAAATTAATTAGAGCATTGAAAATATAAAGAATTAGTATCATGCACAGCAAGTAGCCTGAGGCCTGTAGGCTGTATGGTTATAAGTTACATATTGTTACAAGTTTATCAGATAATAGTTAGACATTTAAAGCAAGAGCTAGCTTAAGTATAAAGGAGTATATAACTACTGGTAAGAGAAATACAGTAAAACTGTGAGGTGAAAAAGCAAAAGGGAAAAAATACCATATCCTGCCACCTTTGTTGTGTCACTGTTTGTTGTCTGTGAAAGAATGGAACAAGAAGGTGACCAAATGCTCCATTTTTAAGGACATTATAGTTTCCTGTCCGCTCCCAGCTGCACACTAATCTTACTGTTACTAGTGTACCTACTTTGGAACTGCCTATGCCTGTAGCACCCCTGCTTTTATTAATGAAGATCTGATTATGTGACTTTTGTGATCAGTTTGTAAGGCACTTGCCTAGGTATTAGAGGCTGAATGGCAAGAGATCTCAGCCTGCTAACTCAAAGTATCTGTGAACTGTTGGAATTATTCCAGAATGAGCTGGGTGCAACTGAGCTCTAAAGATCAAGGATGTGTGTGATTCCTAGAGGGGCACATTGCATTACAGAAAAGAGAAGTTCCCTTTTATGGGCTGCTCAGTTGACATGATCAAGACTTATCTATTAGTTTGATGGCTGAACACCCCTTATTTTATCAGCAAACTTAAGTTTGAAAAATGTCTGAGTACAGATTTTGAATCACTACTGTTCTATTCTGGTTTAGATAAAGTAGAAAATGAGATTAAATTATGCTGTAGAGAATCATTTTATTACCCAGTAGGTAATCTTCCTTGTGTTTCAACAGAGCAGTAATAAGTAAAGGGCCACCATGACTGACTTATTAAATTAAAAGGTGGAAAGTTTTCCAGAAGATTAATGTGTTAAGAAAAATTGTCTGATACTAAATTCTTCTAGTGCTTTTCTAAGTGTGCTTCAGTTGTTGATAAAGTCAAAACTGTCTTCAAAATGCACCAGTG